AAGATGCAAAATTGATTAATAATTTTGATTGGCGCATTAATTTCTAAATATAAAAACATGAAAAAAATTTAAAACGAATTTTTCAATTAAGAGTTATTGCAGGATACACACATTTTAACACAAGCTACGTAAGCGATTAGCGAAACAATTGGGAAACTCAATGCAATGAAAAAAAAAAATTTTTTTGTTTAGAGTCAGATCCACTAACCTTTAATTGCCGCTAAATCTAATAGAGTTGTGATCTCCGATGATGGTTTTCTCGAAACACAATACAGTTTATCGGATTTGAATTAGTTTCACAACAATTTTGAAGTTATAAAATCGGAGCACATGCCGACTCATAGATGAACGAAATGTAACTGAACTCCCTCCTTGCGAATCAAAGCAAAAGCTGTAGTTGATGCCAACTGATATTTAAATTCAAAAAAATTAATAACATTAAAACTTCCTTTTGTGGATCAATTGAAAATCAATAAATTATTAATAATTATCCAATTAAATTAATGCGAATTAATTTTCCATTAATTTATTACTTTCGTTTCCACGTTTTTTATTTAGTTCAAAGTTTATTTTTATTTTAGTGTAAAATAAGCAAAGAGCTTCAATTCAATATAAAACTGCCATTAGAAATTCTTATTAATTGGTAAAAGTTTTCCTCACTTAAGACGCTTTCAAATACAATTTAACGGCGAAATGCATTATTTATCATGACCGTAATATCAACTAAAAGCTTTTCCATATTGTTAATTGTTTCTTATGGTCAACAGGAAAACATTTACTATTCCTTCAGTCATTCAGATCATTAAAGATTAGAATCGGACAAACATGTCATCATGGTTTCATGTCTGTTGCGCCGACCTAAATAAATTCATTTTATTACACCAAAACAAAATAATTATATTGTATAGCCATGAACTGGAAAATAACGATTTTTTTATGACTTTCATGTATATGTCTATATATAAATTAATTAACTTGCATTCCATTGTAATAACGACATTATTTATATGATTTTAGGTCATTTCTGTATTTCAATATTATATTTTAATAAATAAAATTAAAATGTTTATAAGAAACTCATTTACTTTATAAGATAATATGACTAAAACAAGCAATGTTTACTTAACCATGACCATGTAATATAATAGAAATTTATATGGAAAAACATATTGCTAGAAAAGTATTTTATATGAATCTCCTCAACACATACATTAATTTTGTCAAATTCTTTTGAAGATAAATCTTTCAAGCTTTGTATAAGTTGTCAATCAATTAAGATAATTATTATATACTATACAAAATAATATAATAATATTTATTTGCAAGGTTTTATTTACTTAAATTTAATTTAAGTAAAAATTATTTTAGATATTCTTCGTTTTCAGAGGTAAATTTACTATGACCAAAATGAGGATGTGTTCCAATGCAAATAATAGTTTGATTAAAGAAACAAGTAACTTACTTATAAAGTGACATTATATTTATATATGAGTCTAAAGTTTCTATATCATTTAACGATTACCTATATGGAGTTATTGCATTACTAATGATAGTTTAATAATAACAATATTTAAATCAGAATCATTTTCACTAAACGTTTTCAATATCATAACTTTAGGTTGTTAAATTTTTTTTGTGTTCTTTTCAATTTTTGCTAAGATTTATCCACTAACATTCAATATATTTCTAACATCCTCTTCATCAACTTTTTGAAACCTATTGATTGAGTCATCTGAATAACTACATTTCAAATTTCTTGGATTTTATTTTCTTCTTCTAGTAACACTTTTGATCATATTTTGCGGTATAGTCCATTTAAGTATTTTCAAGTAACACCTAGAATCGATGTTTTCGGAATTGTGGGCTTTGTTGTAAAGAAGTTTCATCACATTTAACTCTAATACAAATTTAATATTTATTAAATTTAGTTAGTTATTTATTTATATTTGATTGCATAGATAATTTTATTTATTTTTTTACCGTTAAACACACTCAGTTGTTATGACGCAAGTTGCGCAAAATACACACACACATAATGGCAGTAATGAAAAAGAAACATAACGAGAAATGAAATTGTGATATGATAATGGAGTTAAATATATGGGAGTAGCATAATATAATAATAGGCAAACGACGTACAAAAATAATCAATATTCATATAATCGATCTGCACGTGAAGCATCAAATATAATGTTGGATTGTTGTGACTGTCTCGACAGTTTGGCGTTGAATTTCCATGAGGGAACTCGTCGAAGATGCCAACATTAAGTTCGCGCTTAACTGACTTGTCTTGCAGTTGAAAGCTTCTTGCATTATGGAAGATCCGACAAGAATTTATGCTATACCGAGTAGCGCATTTTCAGTACCAAGTACGTTAAAAAAAAGAACAAATAAATGCAAGTAAAAACAAACACGACAATAATTGGAAACTTTCATTATCTGCTACACGTAGTGATGTGATTCTTTTTTTTTAAATTCCCTAATGGCTTTTAATCAAGTGTTAATTATTCTACTTACCGACAATCTAATTCCCAGACGTGCATCAATTTAGATAAAGCGATTTCAATTACATACATTACTTCATCAATTCTGATTTTCAATACAACATTCACTTCGCGTAACGCTTAAATGAATTAATTAATTTACGTGATGCGATTAACGCGTTGAATTAATTAAATGTTTTTGAAAATGTTAGTTTTCTACTATTATATTTATAATTAAGAGAAATTTATTTAATGCAGGATATGGACAAACCACGAATGGGACTCACAGCAGGACAGGGTTGATAGATGTAAATTCTAGAGGTTCACTGTAAGTAAATCTAGAGTTAATTTATAAATCAATATTTTCTTTTCTTTTTGTATAATTATTAGGTGATGTTTTTTTTTGTTAATGTATGGAAAGCCATTACATGCTTTTAAAGTAATTGATTATTATTGGTATTGAAAACCAATACACTAATGCTTGCACTATAATCAAGAAATACCATAATAGAACGATATAGGTATATATAATTCAAATGTTCTTAACGTAAATGTATAGCATTTTGCTTTAGTGTGCATTTGGTTGCATGTAACAAATATCTATAAACAGAATTACTTTTCTCCAACTAATACAAACAATATGTAATTACTCTTTTATGAATTATTTAATATAAATTTGGATGTTTTTTAAATAGTAAAAATGCAATAATAACGAAATTTATCAAATACTTATAATAATTATTATCAATTTTAAATAAATAAAAATAATTGATGGAAATCAGTAAAGCATATTGAATATTTGATATAATATAAAATTTAAATGTTTAAAATTTAACAATTTGAACCAAATACTTATTTTTTAGTTACATGTGAAATTGTTCTTAATAATTACTTAAATTTAAACTAATTTGAACTTAATACAATTGATTATCTTATTTGGTTGTAAAAATATAATGCAGAAATAATCTAACTCTTATTAATGTTTTAATTATTGAAATGAGTTGATAATTTACATTGTGATTTATTCATTAGAAATCAATGATAAAAGTTGTCTCATAAATGTACAGGAAGCTAATGTCTCAATTAGTTATGTTATCTTCCTGTTAATTTATAAAGATTCAATAGCGATTCAGCATTTATTTGTCACTTTACTCTTCACCCTAAATAACTGGAATAATGACGGAAGCGCATCTGTGCATTCCGCAAATCCGAGAAAGTTTCTGATAATGACTACGCAATTATAATAAAGAAGAGTAAAATTAGCTCTGCAATTAGTTGTGTTTTTTAATGGCCACAATAAATCTTGTATCTGCAAAAATTACAAACATTTTTCTTTAATTAATTAAAATTGTGCCATATAATTTAATTAGAGTCTACGTTAATGTTTAAGTTGATGAACTGTCACTAATTATTTTGTATTTTTAATCTTTTTTTATTTATTTTAGTCTTTCAACTGTCTTCATGACTTTTATTCTGAAGTGTTTGAAACCTGACTAATTGAGGAACTTAATATATACAAAAACTGTTCGAGGTTGTCTTATTGTTATATATTACAACAATACGACATAATATTTTATAATTACATAATTCTATTTTTTTTTATTATGTCAAAGTATATTTAATTTACTATTTTATTCATGCGAACATTAATTAAATCTAATGGTGGTAGGCATTTTGCTGTTTTGGTAAACTTCCCAATAGAAGTTTTTACCATTATATTCTTCTGTAATTTGTTGGTTGGCTGCCTTCTTGTTAACTTCAGTATATTTATGCTATGCGATTCCACTATTCCCTTTGTCTGTGTATCTGCTGCCATCCTTTAACATTATCATTGTTCATCGACTTGGCTGAAGGTCCATATGCTGAACCTCTTTTCATTTGACTGTCCATTCATGATGAACGATGGCCCTATTGCTGCAAGTAGCGAGAGGGCTCACAAAGGGCTTGGCTTGACCAGGATTCGAACCGGCGCGCACAAAATCGTGGGTAGGGTGACTTAACCATTCGGCTATTAGTCGCCCTATAATACTATTTTACTTACTAATACTATTTATTCGATTTTAGAATTATATGTTTCTAAAGGATTCCGTTTTTTTCTACTGAAATGTTATTTTCAACCATATATTTTTTGTGTAAATGGTGTTTGGCGTGTGAATAAGGCTAAATCGTTGGGAGACCAAATAAAAGCAACACCGTTTACTGAGTATATTACTTGGATGTGTGATCGGTTACAGAGTCAATAAAACGCCTTTCTAGATAAAACAATGACGGTGTTTTAAAGAACAGACACAAAAGCCATATGGTCAACACGATTAGCCGGAAAACCTCTTAGGAAACCGACAAATACCCACATAAACTAGCTATCTAATTAACAATTTACTAGATATTCATTTTATATAATTAATAAGAAACAAAACAAACATTTCCCGGCTTTCTTAATAATACTAGGAAAGTTGCTTGAAAGTAAAACAAGTTTTTATTTAATTAACTTATGTGCATACTTTTTTTTTCTGTTATGTTTTTCAATTACATGTTATTTTGCTCTTATCTTACTTGAAAATATTTATTATTATTTCCAGATTTAAGAAAAAAGATTTCCACAAGAAAATAACGATACTACTGTTCTTTTTGGTATTCTTCCTGCTCCTTGGATTATTTATAATGACATCGTTTTGTAAGTAAATTTAATGCGATGCCTTGAGTGGTTTTATCTAATTATATGATTCCCCCAAGAAAACATTTCACTTTTGGATCTTTGTTGTTTTTACTATATTTAGCACTGTTACGCATTTCATTTCAGTTTCCGCTTTCCATGCTTTCTTCCTATAATGCAATCTCTTTTATGCATTTTCTTCTTTTAGACGTTAAATCGTACAATGCGCTTCACTCGGTAAAAAAGATGTGCACTTCCGATGAGTGCCTGAGGACATCGGCAAACTTAAAGTTATCGATGGATAAATCCGTCGATCCGTGCGAGGATTTTTACGAATTTTCCTGCGGTCGTTGGAGCGTGGAACACCCAAACCACGGTTGGTATCCAAAATTTTCGACGTTCGAAACGATCGATGAAAGGGTGTTATTGTCCAGCTTGAATTTCTTAACATCGAATGAATCTCAGGAGGAGCCGTTGCCTGTGAAGCAAAGCAGATATTTTTACAAATCGTGCATGGATGTAGGTAAATCTTAATAAACGTTCATCGAATTGATGTAATTTAAAGATTCATTCAATTTAGAATCGATTAATAATCTCGGATATTCCGTGATTTATAAGTATTTGAAAGAAGTTGGTTTACCTGAAATCCCGAGCTATTTTTCCGGAAAATCCGTTGATGATGATATTGACTTCGATTGGATCGAAGTCTCCGTTAAATTAAAACAAATCTTTGCTATGAATCTCTTCATTCAATTCGACATCGACGCAGATATTTATAATAGAAGCAACAACGTTCTGTACATTGGATCAGGCATATCATCAGCTCCACTTCCTAGGTAACATTAAAAACAACTTTGAAACAAGAGACAAATTAATACAATAATGGTATTATTACAGTCCGTTTAAATTGAAAAGAAAAACGAAAGAAATGAGGAAAAGTCAAAACGCAGATGATGACGAGGATGACTTCGATGTTGAAGAATATTTGCGTAAGCTCGAAGTGAATTCTAAGAACGCAATGAAAAGAATAATAGAAGTCGTGCTAAGTAATTTAACAAAATCAATTGATACAGATTTACTTAATAAATCTGTTGATATAATTTACAATATGACATCAGATACGTCAGAAGTATACTTGCATTTTATACAAATAGCAATAAATTTATGTAAATTATTTTTTAGATGTCTATTGTAAACGCGACGACAATCCTAAATATTGATATCAAAAGATATTCTATAGAAGAATTGCAAAAAGAAACAGACAATTTCTTGGTTGCAAATAATATGAATAAGATGGATATATGGAAGCCGTACATAACATCTTTATTTAAAGAAGTCAAAGACGTTAATTTCGACTTTAAAAATGATTTCGTTTACATTTCACCATCAGAAATGACTTACATTTGCAACATACTTTTGTATATATCAAGGACTCCTAAAGTAATATTGGAGTTGTACAATTGGTGGATTGTTGTTAAATCGATGATTATAAACACGACCAGCGATGTAATCGCGTATATTAACAAAGAAATGTCTATTTACTACCAGAATTATCCAGAGGTTATAAGATCAAGGTACGTGAGTCAAGTAGAATGTATTTATTACAGAAGCGAATGATTTTAAGGTCTTTAGATTGTACTGAGCTTATAACGAAGTTCATGGGTATAGCAGTCAGCTACGGGATCGTAGATCAAACTTTTGAAAATAATACTAAACCAAAGGTGCGTTACTATTTGTAATTGTGTAATGTAAAACAAAATCGTTGAAATTATTGCAGGTGGAGCAAATGCTTTATGATATAAAGGAAGCTTTCGAGCATCGAGTTAATAATATACCATGGATGGACGAGCCAACAAAGCGGGCGACATTAGAGAAGAGCAAAGAAATGCTCAGTTTTATCGGATTTCCCGATTGGCTCATGAATAAAACGGCAATTGAAGTTCATTATGAAAATGTAAACAATCTAATTATATTCAAATCGAAAAAAAAAGTTAGATTTTTTAATATTTTTAGATGACGATACTGCCCAATACGTATTTAGAAAACATGATGGCGTTCATCAGAACGTACACTTTAACTAGCTTGAAAACGTATCGGTTGGAGAACGATAGAACTTGGAGAACGGATCCTGTTACAGTAAATGCTTTTAATTACTTTGGAGATAATACAATTAGTAATTAGTTTAATACGTCCGTAATTGTTTTTTTATATACCAAACATTTTTGTAGATGTTCCAATGGCTATACTGACCTTTCCGATGTACCATTTAGGATTAGAGTAATTAAAGAAGCATTAATTGAAGATATTCAACGTAATCATATAATTTGATTGTAGGGTTTTAAATTATGGTGCTATTGGAAGTATTCTGGGACACGAATTAACACACGGATTTGATAATACAGGTGTTAATCGAATTATATTGAATACAATTTCTAAATAGTAATTAATACAATTTCAGGGAGAAGATTTGATAAATATGGAAATTTGATAGAATGGTGGACCAATGAAACTTTAAATACGTTCGAAGATAAAACTGAATGCTTTATTAAACAATACAGTGATTATAGAGTTCCAAACATCGAGATGAATGTGAGCAATTAATTACATTGATGAAAATTGTAAATTAATATTTTTTTAATGCAGGTCGACGGTGATTTAACTTTGGGCGAAAATTTGGCTGATAATGGCGGATTACATCATGCGTTTCTTGCATATCAGAATTATTTGAAACGATTTGGACCTGAAGATCATTTGCCTGGTTTTGATGAATATTCTAATAACCAAATGTTTTTCATAGCTTATGGAAGTGTACGATTTTCATCATCATAATACAATAAATACAATTAAAAAACATTTTTTGCTTTTTCAGATCTGGTGCGAATCTCGAAATGATGCGTCTCTAATTGATCAAATACGAACGGACGAGCACAGTCCAGGAAAGTTCAGGGTTCTGGGTACTCTGCAAAATTCGGAGGACTTTTCGAAGGCGTTCAATTGTCCTGTTGGTAGTAATATGAATCCTGAAAGATCGAGATGTCGGATTTGGTAAAATGTATTTTAAATGTGGGTGATAATAATAGTGATACATAATTTAATAGTATTCTTTATATTGAGATTATAGTTATATACATATATTAGACTTAATGAGAGTTATGTAATTTATATAGTTTATGTGATAAGAGTTTTAATGTTGCAACGTGTGAGTGAGTGTTGTTTTTGAATAAAGTATATATTTATTTCTGTTGTGTTAACTCAACGTTATTTTAAATTTTTCTAGTTTTACCTATTATTAAATATGATTTTTATTTGTTTTGTTTTCTATGACTTATCTTTTGAAGGAAATTGTATTTTATTTTGTTCTGGAAGTTAATTAATATTATATTTTTCACTTTGATATACTTATGGAGTTATTGTTTCATGAATTCTTCTTTTAGGGTATTATTTGTGTTGGAAATAAAATGTTTCATTTTTTTTTATAAAATAAAGCTGTTACTTTATTAGTGCAAATTTTTTTAAATATTTACAGAGTTGGAGGAAATATTCCACCGGATATAACAATGAATGTGTATCACATATGTATGACGCAAAAATGAAGTACAAAAAAATAATGAATGAGGACAAAAAATTAAAGTTAAATGGTATGATGAAATAGAATGATTAATCAGTGATTAAGTCTTCAATATTTGGAACCATGTCCTCCGCCGAGGGAGATACTGGTATAGCTACTGGCACCACCTCCGTGTCCGCCGCCGCCGCCTCCAGAACTAAGGGCGTAATGACCGCCGCCGCCTCCGGATCCACCGAAGGAGTGTCCACCGCCGGAACCGCCGAAAGAGTGTCCGCCACCTCCGCTCAAGCCATGGCTGGTTCCGTAGCTGATGATGCTACTACCTCCGTGTCCACCTCCAAGTCCACCGCCGAGACCGCCTCCGTGTCCTCCACCAAGTCCACCGCCAAGACCGCCTCCGTGACCTCCACCGATTCCTCCGCCGTATCCCCGACCTCCGTGACCTCCACCGATTCCTCCGCCGTATCCACCTCCGATATCCCGCCGCCGTATCCTCCTCCGTATCCTCCGCCGTATCCTCCTCCGATACCTCCGCCAATGCCTCCTCCAATACCTCCACCGATTCCACCGCCAAATCCTCCTCCGAATCCACCGCCGCCACCGCCGCCTCCGCCGCCGCCTCCTCCTCCTAAGCTAATGATCTGAGGAACTGGAACAACAACAGTTTGAGGTACCCTGACTGCAACGGGTTGGTTGACGGTGACTGGGTAGGGTTGAGGTACTGGCACTCCGATGGGTTGAGGTACAGGAACTGGTACTGCTTGTGGTACTGGCACTGGAACAGTTCTGGTAACGGTGACTGGGTATGGCCTGGGAACCACAACGGGCTGTGGTACTGGAACTGCTACTGCGACTGGACGTGGTACCGCAACTGGCACTTGCACTGGAACTGGAACTGCTACTGGGCGAGTTATGGTGACTGGATAGGGTTGTGGTACTGATACTGGCACGGCTTGGTTGATGGTCGTGACTGAGGCTCCACCGTCAGCGGCGCCGCCTCCTCCTCCTCCGCCGCCTCCACCGAAACCACCGCCTCCGCCGCCTCCACCACCGAAACCACCGCCAAGACCGCCTCCGAATCCTCCGCCAAATCCTCCTCCCAATCCTCCACCGTATCCACCTCCAAGACCTCCTCCATGGCCACCACCGAATCCACCTCCGCCGCCGCCGAGTGAGATTCCGCCTCCGTGTCCTCCCAATGAGATGCCACCTCCTCCTAAGGATATTCCTCCTCCGTGACCTCCCAATGAGATGCCACCACCACCATGGCCTCCGTAATCTCCTCCACCTCCTCCATAACCGCTGCTGATGATGCCTCTCTTCTCTGCCTTCTTCTTCTCTTCACCGTAACCACCGGCTGTTACGGCGAGGATCAATGTTACGACCTATATCAGAAAAAAATGATTGTATTATATAATTAACTCTAAAGGTACTGATACCATTGCATTGCAACTTACCAAGAAGGGTCTCATGTCTTGTTTGGGATGTAGTGCAATGACAAGTGATGCTCTACCCCCGTAGTCTAAACAATTTATACTAGTCGCGTCTGGTGAGGGTTTGCACGGCTCCAATAGTACTTTCACTGGGCGGGAGCATCTCTCCATCCCATACATTCACACCACGCGCCGCATCGATGCACATGTATTCCTCATAACCGTAACACACACTCACACATACGTTGCACCGCTTGCAGTATGCACAATTCTTCCATCAAACCGATTCCAGAAACGTATCACATAATCTCACGGTATGAGTCAGTACCCGATCTTAAGGAAACAATGCAATTAGTAACACTCCAATTAGACCCAGCAATTCGATTTTTAATTTTATGCAATTTGCTCATTACTCATTATTAGAAAAATATTCATAAAACAATAGACATACCATCATCATATAATAAAAATAAGTTTACATTTGACCAATATCTCATAAAAATATAAAATATTAATAGCATCATCATCACTAATATAATTATATACACTCAAAATTAATTGCATCATAACACGAAACTTTGCTAATTAAACATCATTACATATATGATAATTAATCCTCATATAAACCATATTTATATTTATTAAATGCATAAAAAAAAACAATCATTATGCAGTTTCGCAGACGGTAAGTGTTGCGAAACGGGTGCATTATGAATCGAAAGAAAACGTTTTTTCATTCCTCGACAAAAAATAATAATTGAAATTCCATTTCGACATATGTTCGTTAGTAAAAAATTAAAGGATTATTATTAGCATGGTGTATGTGCTAAAATTATTTCGCAGATATTATTTTTTTTGTACATGCTTTCTCGTCGAGTGTAATTTTCTGAATTTGCTTCATTTCTGGAACGGAAAATTGCGCTGTAATTATATGAAACGCTCTCGTGTGATTGCCTTATTGTACGATGTAATATTTTATTCATTCCTTTTTATTCTAACGTTATATTTAGAACATAAATTAAATTTAAAACATTCATGAAATAAAAACGTATAAATAGTAAAAATAAAAGTCGAGAAATTAATAATATCATCTAAAGTCTCCAGCAGTGTATTTCCATATATGTAATTGTTAAGTAGTTTCAATCCCAATTGGCAATCGAGGTCTTTGAGCCGTGTGAATGTAAATGCTGTTAAGATTTGTTATTTTTAGTAAATATTCTTCGTTCTACTAACGACTTAATAAAGGTCACCCTAAAGTGCTATCAGCACGTTACTTAACTGTTATAAGGTAAAATAAATCTATTTTTGTTTTAAATTTTAATTTATACATGTACTTGTAAAATAAACTGTTTACATTGCACAAGAAACCATCGTTTTCTTTTTCTCTTTCATTTTAAAAATAATTGCGGAAAGTAAACTAATAAATTGCGAGTTTATGTGTATACATGTAAGTGAAAAATGACATAGTTTCACAAAAAAAAGTACATCAGGTGAGCGCACTATGGCTCCACCGGAAAGAAAGCACGAATTATGTATAATTGTTTAATTAATATAACTTTTTTTTCTTTTTAATTATAATAACCGGTGTAAATGAAACCTGTCATTGCTCTAAAAAGTGTCATGTCTTACTTTTACATCGATGTACCTAATGATAATCCCTATTACAAAAATAAAAAAAAAACCTTAGGTCTTTCAGAATTTGAACATTCATTAAATACATATTGATAGTTTAATTGATAATTAAATATTGAAAATATTTTTTTAACAGAAACTGTAAATAAAGGAACAAATACAATAATCTTAAACTTGAGTGGATGAAAATTTTATTTCTCCATTGTAGATTATGGATAATTAAGCTATAAATAATCCTTTTTAAGTATTTCAAATAACAGCTCATAAATATTATTTCCATTTTTATACGTCTAATTAGAATCTTGAAGTGGATAAAGTGGTTAGCAATTTTATTGATCGTGAGTGTAGATTCCCATTAAAGATGTTTTATAATTTATATTTGCAGCATTTAAATTTAAAATCAATTAATTAACGTTTGATTGATGGAATAGTATTGAATAATGTTTCTGCGCTCGGTAAATTGACATGACATGAATGATGCAGAATTGGTTTGGTTTTGCTTGGCTGAGTTCAGCTTAGATTAACTGCGAGCCCTGCGATCTCAAAAAACGAGAGGATTTAACAACTTTGGAAAGTAGCGTAAACCTCAATATGCAAATCGCTCAAAATAAGAATAAACCCGACGGGCACAGATGAAGGAATCTGAAAATAAAGGATACTCAAATATAAAATAAAGCGCCCCCCTCACAGATATGCACTAAATCGCTCAAAATTATCCCCATAAATTATTGTAATTAACTCTAATTACCGATTTTATTCGCGAATTCCGACTGCGCAGAATTTTCGCAATTTTCCATTAAAAACTAGGCGGTTATATAAGAGGCGGCATGATAATTGGCATTAAAACAGCGGCGCGCTTTTCGCGGACGCGGTTTTCCCTTACGCAACAGAACTGCGAGATTTCCTCTATCGACGATTGGGGAAGACGACGATAAAAAAAAAGCGGAGCACCGTCAGTGCTGTCCGCATTGTCCTGTCACCGTTTCGGAATTTGAGAACCGATTCGTTCCAGGATAATAGCAATAATACAGAGGAGGAAGTCTGTTGCTCTGCTTGGCGCGAGCACCTTCGATGCATTTCCAACGAACAGCAAATCCCGTTTAGAAACTTGCGATTCCGCAATTAAAGTCCACGTCTGCTTCTGCTTTAAAGATTTACTGTTTTACGAAAGCAAGTTTCGTTGATTCATTTATTTTCCCCCTTTGCAACTGTTGGTATATTAAATTAATGACCTGTGGCATATTTGCCGCCTTCGTAATTTCCATACGAAAGGAGAATCTGATCTGGTCGCAATTGGAAAAGGCGGTGGACTCGAACTGGACGACGAATTGGCAACCTCCGATTCTATCGCATTTAATTTTATAGTGATTGTAGTGTATACCTATCGCTATTAGTTTAGTGAACGTTTTCTAATAATTACAAGCCGTGTGCGAAAATATAATTATCTTACAACAAATGTTCGGATTTTATTGCATCAGCTTCAAACTTCTAAATTGCATATTATATATATATTTAAAAATTCTGTTTGATCTACATTCTACGTATAACGAAAACATAATTAAGTATGCATTATTTTACTGCCGCGGCAGAAAATAGAGAAATTGCGGAACGCCGTGCGGCTATGAATGAAATTTATTTTTTAATTCAAAAACATTTGCTTTATCACAATTTAATTACCGTATTGGCATTCCTATACATTTTACAGATTTAATTATTATTCTCGCATTGCTTATTCATTTATGACATTTCACATCTTTACAACAATATAAAACTGGTATTGCGCATTTTAATTATTTACTAGTTCTGAGACTATTAAATTTTCATTAATAAAAAGTATATAAAGGGAGATAACCGTTTATATATCTATAAAAAAAAACTATATTTTTAAAGTTTATGTGTATTTTATGAATTAGTATCGTTTTTTATTATTTACTTCACAATATTTCAATTAGTATGCAATAGAAAGATGGGATAAAGGATGTTATGTCAAAATTAGAGGAAGTTTGTAAAGTCACGCTCTGAAAGACTGATCTTTGTGAAATCCATATCAAAAGAGCAAGTACCAGGAAATAAGAAAACAAAACATTTATAAAGTGTTGATTATGTAATATTCAATATACTTGATAATTGTATATTATATTGTTTAGTTCGTGTAGAATCTAAGTAATTATGTAAAATTTTGTGAGAAAGTAACATACCAATCTACCACTGATACCATCAATAAAGGTTTTTTAGTTCCAAAAAACAGTCTCATTTTGTATTTTCCGTATGGTAAGTATGGGGGAAACATACTAGCATTTGGTGACCAACCATAAAGGACGTATGTCTGAAAATATTTTTTTACAAAAATATGCGATAACTGAAAAATCTTGCTTACTGTATTGTAAGATAGAGGCCATGTTAAAGGCGGTTTACTCAGATCGTGAACTAACTTCCATAAATCGAATTGCTTGTACATAAGGATGTTTGAAATTGTATCAGAAAACTCAATTGGAGAATACTGCACGTAGTTTTGATTGATCCATTTGTAGGCAGTAACGTACATCTGCAATTTGCAATTTAAAAAAATACACCAGATTTAATTACATCAAATAATACCCTGCTATCTTCCGACATTTCCCGAATTACAGTAAAGTTCACATCCACCACTTTGAACGTTCGATTTGTGTACGACAAACCTCCATTGAATATGCACATGGATTTATTAGTGTGATAACCTATTCTATTCTGCGTTATAAGCAGTTTATTCTTCTATAAATTGACGAATTAAATCATGATATTAACTTATATATTTGTACAATACCTTTGCGCCACTTGTCATGGAAATTAGTGTAACGAATAAATATAAAAATAGCTTTAATTTGTACATTTCTATAAAACGTTAGTAGCTGAAATAATCGGGAAGCAGATTGCGCTAGTATTTAAAGGATTTTCGGTTTTTTTTTTTGGTGTATATTATTATTATTTTATGAATTTTGGTAATGATATAATAAAAATAATATGTTTTTGTTTATGTATTTAACCTTCGCAGATTGAATGAGTGGCATTAATAACAAAATATAATTACAAAAAATACATGAAAGAAAAGTAAATTTTATATAGTGAAACAATTTCCTTAATCGTTATTAAATAACCCATAGCTATTATCAAATAAAACACGAGAAATATATAAGTATTATATAAGTGTTATATATGCAAGCCATTCAAACGAATTTCTGATAATATGAAATATATCAATTAACTATTATTATGTGAAAAGAAGAGTTTTTAAAATGAATCTTCACTTCGATTCGATACCCTTTGATCGGAATGTTAGGTGGAAACTGGATTAAGTCTGGACACCAATTTCGAAGTCTGAATGCATACAATTATAAATATTTGCTATATAATAACATCATTGACTTTACCTGATTTACAATTAAAGACCAATTAATTTCGGGCGTAGAATCCGAAGAAAATATCTTCTACATATCGAATTATTTGTAATCTTGGAGAGAAAATCCCCAAACTCTATAAGTAAAAAAATTATGTAATTTTGATTGATTAATAACGGCAATAGTGTTAAATTAATGGATATCGCTGTGGTTGTTCTATTGTAATGTCTGAGACCACAAGAAAAATCGATCATTGTTTTGTTTGATTTGCAGTCAAGTCTTTTTTGGATCAACGCTATTTGAACTTCTAAAAGGATATTGATTACAAATAAAAAATACTAAAGAGCAATGGGAACTTTTTCTGTTGTTTTAGTTGGCAAAATTTAACATGCAACAATAAATATTTGTATCTCCTTAATAACTATTAATTTATGTTAGTTGGGAAGTTTGTAAAAATAGATTTCCTAACTAATTTACGTAAATAACTTCTGGTAGGTTATCTGACTGACCTTCAACCTTTAATTCGGTCATAAAATCGTAATTAATTCGTTTCCTCTCATTATAAAATGAATTCATTTCCGACGTGGGATTGATATGATAGTTATTGATAAGGATTTCATTTCAACATAATTGTATAAATTATTAAATAATAAACAGAGAATCTTTTTATATATTTAGGATGTAGATAGTTAGCTCAGATATTTTTAGCTGTAAATAGCATGAGCACCAATTTTATGACAAGTTGACTTCTTCAGATTGAACAGTTCCAAATTATGTCCAGGTAAACTTCAAGTACTTACACATAAATAAAGCATTTAAAAAGTCTCTTTATAATATAAGTATTACTAAATAACTATGTATTTTTTAGTTTTCAAGTATTTCTGTCGATGACATATTTATACATTTATGGTCTGCAAATATGATTTCTTGATATTAAGT